TTTATTTTTTTTTTTTTTTTTTTTTTTTTTTTTTCTTTTTTTTTTTTTTTCTATTAGCATCTTTTTCATTTAATCTTACCGAAATATCCGTTTATTTAATATAAAACTCTGTGCATCTGAAACTATACATGTGTAATGTAATTACTTCAAAGTTAATTTCCAAGAACGGAACATGACTCAATCGCAATTATTATATATTCCACATTAAAGCACAAATGAATTGGTATTTCGCGGCGTGATAAAGATAACCTTGACAGGATATTAGAATGGATGTACTTACACGAAGCGATGCACCATCGCTCTCGATAATTCTCGGAATCGAGTGTCCCGGCTTTACGAGCGATGGGTTAAGGGTCACCGTCGAGAATTCGTCTGTCCGCGTACGCGTTAGCGAGTAACGAGGTTGCGAAAATTCCGCGATAAAAGCTCCGGGGTCGTCAACACCGTTGTTTATTCTATTTTTACGTACTCAAGGATTTTGCTGGTAACGCGGTAATCGTAAACCGATGGCTTGGATGGTTATAAACTAGACCACTTTTGCGATAGCGTAGGAAAATTTTTCCCATTTCACCGTGCCGGCGAGCAATCGTTCCACTTACGCGATAAATAATTAAATTTCTCGAGCATATGTTATCTCGTATTGTTGTATCATTTCTGTGAATTATTTGATAACAAGTAATGACGCAATTCTTCTAGAATCGTTTATCTTAGATTTTTATTCTCCAGCGTAATATTGAATAACTACTACTAATTTTCGGATTCTGTACTTATATATATATATTTTCTTTTCTTGCATAAAAAATTTAATTCTTGACAAGACAAAATTCTTTTACGTCGCAGTTACGTTGGAACGTTCATTATAGACATTATCGTACGTTGTCGCTCTTATTGCAATAAAAATGCGATGAGATTCGACGTGAATCGCTGTTTACGCGAACGAAGTGATATTCCGGACTCGTTCTAATAGCGTTCTGAAAAGATTAAATAACGAATCTTTGACAGACATATGTTGTTATACCGACGTTTTCGACACCCTATGTAACTCTACGAGGCTACTCGCAATTGAATATGTATATAAGCTGGTATATAGTAGGAATTTTCACGCGACCGTATTTTACATTCCGGTTTATGTGCACATAGACGCGAAAAGTACAATGGCATAAATCATTGGAAATTTATAGGAATTGAAATGAAATTCCTATCCTTCTATCAATATATCAATCCTTCTATATTTCACACAGCACGATACAGCACAGTGAAAAAATATTTATTTGTAAACTAAGAAATGATACTTAATTGATACTTAATTATAAACAATTTTATACACATACAGAAAGAACAATTTTACTGAATATCTCAAAATTTAGCTAAGAAATACAGATTTAAAGATAATTTTGTTGGACCATAAAATAATTACGTGGGATGCTTAAGCGCGTGGTATTAATATCTAACAGTTTTAATTTTTTTCGCAATCAATTTGCGTTTTACATAATTAATTTAACGGCAACGATCAACATTACTTTTAGATTTGGTGAAATGTATTTGATATTTCAGCAAAACTATTTTTTTCGTCTGCAGTGAAGTCTGTTGGAGAAGTATAGGTGCAACTCGAAACTCACGTAAACTCACGCGATTCATGTTTTGTTTACCGCGCTGTCCATTATGTTATTACGTGTTAATTATTCGAATACCGTGTGTACACGAATGCACGTGGAGAGATGGCGATCAGGTAGCTTAAAGCGTCAGCCACAATGTTTGCGTGACCGCGGGCTAGAGAGCGGAGCTGGTTTACCGAGACGGCGGCTAAACGATGGCGATAAAAATCGATCGTACGGAGCGCTGGTAATTTTCAACCAGTTGATACGACGAATGTAGTTACAAATTAAATCGAGCGAGGAATGACTGGAAGTGTAAAAGTCGGGGGAAGGACGGCAGTGAGAGAAGGCGGTTCGGACGTCCCTGAAAAA